ACGTCACAAAACAATTCGTGTATTAACTGTTTAATGAGAAACTAATGTGCTCTGTAAACTTTCATCTAAATCACAATTTAAAAAAAGAAAGAAAGAAAGGAAGAAAACGCGGGAGCGGTTGGTGCCCTGTATGTCTCTGGACAAAGGACTGGGCCCTTTCTTGACTTCCCAAGGGAGCTTCCAAAGCTGCTCCAAGCTCTGCATCTGAGCTGAACAAGGTTCTAGGTTCTCCTTCTGCCTCCCTCTCTCTCTGGACCCTGCACCTGCACAGACACACAGACACACACAGACACACACGCGCACACACACACACACACACACACTCTCTCTCTAACCTGGGTGTCAGAGACTATCAGCCCTTTGCCCATTCCACAGATGAGGGCACAGAAGCCTGAGGCAGCGCGAGGGCAGAGCAAGAGTGGGCACACACAAGTGTCACTCTCAGGCCCGAGCTTTCATCACCATCCCAGTTGTCCTCTCTGCCAGGACAGCCAGAACCCCTTGGTGAGGCCGGGTTTCCCTCAAAGCCCTTTGCACACCACCCAAAACAGAGAGCAGCACCCCCTCTGTCTCCTCACTCACTGGCTGCCAGAGGCACCCGGACTCAGGTCTTTCCAAGAGCAAAGCTCCAGTTCCCTAACTCCCACAGCATACCTGTTCCCAATGTGTCCCTCCAGGCTCTCCCTGTCCCTTTCCATCCAGGACTCCCTACATTCCCCCCTGCACCCCACAGAGTCCTGCCCCTGCCCCTGAAATACAGGCAATACCTCTTTGTGGTGGACAGATTCACCTTCTGCTGGAGTCTCCAGACAGCAGTGAGCTCCGCGCGCTTCCTATTTATGCTGACGTTGTTAGCAAACCAGAAAGAGGAAGCAATGCCTGCCCAGGCCTGTTTCTGCACAAATGACTCTTCAGAAGCATCACTCAGTTTCTTAGAATTGTGGTCATAACACTGTTTTGCAAACCTCGCTGACACTGCACGTGATTTTCTTTCTCTGCCAAAAGTTCTCTACCTCCCTCCCGCAGCTTTGTCTCCCTGTGAAGTCTCAGCTCAAAAAAGGCCTCCTCCAGGCAGGCTGCCCTGATTCTCCCATGCAGATAGGGGGAAAAAAAACAACCAAACCCTTTGCCATCGAGTTGATTCCTACTTATAACTACCCTGTGGGACAGAGTAGAACTGCCCCACAGGGTTTCCAAGGAGCACCTGGTGGATTCAAACTGCCAGTCTTTTGGTTAGCAGCAGAGCTTTTAACCGCTGTGCCACCAGGACTCCACAGATAGGGAAAGGGGGCTATAAGTAGTGGAGCAGGTAAGAGCCCGGAGTCAGACAGACTTGGGTTTGACTCCTACTTCCAATATTTCTTAGAGTGTGACCTTGTGCTAATGACCTGCACATAACTTTTTCAAGCTCAGGTCCCTCACCTGTTACTTACGTAAAGTATGTGCAAACCTGGAAGGGCTGTTGAGGGAATCAGTGAGGTGTTGTGTGGGAAGATCTTAGCTCTGACCCTGGCCCATGGTAACCCCCAGGAGTGGTAGCTGGCATGATTTTGATTTCCCTGGGGTTCTCTGTTGCCTTACACCTCCCCACACCATCCTACGGCCCCCACTGTTCATGGCCGTCTTCCCCCAACACTGTCTTCAGCGCTGAGCCTGCGTTTGGTTTACATTTCTCTTTCTAGAACCCAGCACATGTCCTGGCACAGAGGAGGCCCCCAGTGACTGTGCGTGAAATGAATGAATGAATGAATAAATGAATAAGTAACTCCTATGAAGAGATTAGGGCTGGTATTAGAGTAAAGGTGTCTGAAGCACTTACATAGGGTGCAAGATTTAAGAGGGTGCCAAAAATCTCAGTAATCAAGATAAATAATATTTTAAGCTACATTGCAACAACAAAAAAAAATCAAAA